ACACACACACACACACACACACACACACACACACACACACACACACACACAACTTAAAAAAATAATAATAAAAATCAAACAAGTGAAGCAGTTGTGTATATTTGCCTAATACAAGTACTCGGGTAATTAAATTGGAAATATTTTGGGATAAGTTTTGTTTTGTGTTTCAGTTTTGTTTCTGTTTTTGAGATAGGGCTTTACTCTGTGGCCCAAGCTGGCCTGGCACATGAGGCCTGGCCACACCTCAGCCTCCCGGCCCGGGAGGTTAAATCCTCAAGTTTCTTGCAGCACTCTAGCGGTTTCCTACCCCGAGCGCACAGCCTGCGCTCTTCTCTCAAGTCTGCAGAGCACACTAGTCAAAACAGCCTCCAGCAGTGCTCACTCGGCCACAGCTCCATGGCTTCCCGCCTGCAGGCCCCACGGGAGCAGGGGCAGAGAGGGGAGGCAGGCTTGGTGCTGCCCAGTACCATAGCCTGCAAATGACCATCAGCAGCTCCGCCCTCCGGGACCACTTCACCGCCTAGTTTCAGTCATCCCCCTGCATCAAGGTCACAGCAGACACACCAACCAGCAATGCTTAACTACCACAGACACCTCGGGGCAGGCAGACCTCTGTGAGCTCACCACCAGCCTGCTCTACATGAGTTCCAGGCCAGCCGGGGTTCACCGTGAGACGCTGCCAAAAAAATAACTAAATAAAAATGTAAGGCTGGTTTACAAGTAAAGACAATGATCACTTTACTTTCCTATTACACGTTTTTATTTAAAAATTCAAGTTTGCATATCCTTTGGCACAGCAATGAACCCTAAAAATGCACACAAGGGAAACATGCATCTGTGCTACAGCCAAGCTTCTAGCAGACTGAGAACGCCCGGGCCCGAGGATGCCGCAGCACGGACGAGGCGTGCTTGCGTGCACGCAGGGGGCGAACACCATGTCTACACATCCCGGCAGCCTATCTCGCCAGGTGAAAACAGCTGGTTAAATGAGATGCTATTACTTACACAGCACACGGGAAAGGAACAGAGCAAAACCTGGTAACCACGCCTCACGCCTGTGCGGTAAAGAAGGCGGCTGCTTGACAAGGCCTGACCGACCTGAACGCTGCCCTCAGGACTCACACGGTGGATAGTGGAAAAGCAGAACTGACTCCTGGAGTGCCAAGTGTTCTCTTTCCCTCTCTTACACACACACACACACACACACACACACACACACACACACACACGTTTAAGAATAAAATTTTTAAAAGAAGTTAAGAGCCTGGCAGTGATGGAGCACACCTGTAATCCCAGGAGGCACAGGCAGGTGGTCTCTGAGTTGGAGACCAGCCTGGTCTACAGAGAGAGTTCTAGGACAGCCAGGGCTACACAGAGAAGCCCTGTTTCAAAACCAGAAAAAAACTAAGGAAAGAAGGAAAAAAAATTAAGAGGCAGTTGGGAGCCAGGTTTAGTAGTTCACACCTGGAACCCAGTGCTTGGGAAGGAGAAGCAGGAAAATGGTGCGTTCTAGGCAGAGAGGGCAGGAAGAAGGAGGGAGGCGTAGGAACAAAGGACGGGAGCGGTGGCAGAACTGAGCTCACGTAATCTTTCTGGCAACCAAAATGCCTCCCCGGGTCCTTGTACTGCTTTTTCTTGTTGAGTGTAGTACCGAGCACTAGTATGTAGCACTGAGGCGCAAACCCAGGCGTTCCTGTGACATACAGCGACAGGCCTTAGTTCATTTTCAACTGAGCTCACCACAGACGGCCACAGCTTTCAGAACGGCTCTCCCTCTGCCAAGCTGTCTCCAAGGAGCTTCCGAGGGGTGATGAGCTCTCCAGCTGCCTGGCGGGCGGGCGCACGGCCAGCCTAAAGCTAACGTAACCTCCCTCCTTTGCCTGAGTGTGCACACAGTGTTCAGGTTGGGGAATGATGGCTTTCCACTCAAGTACAAAGAATGCAACACCCCTTGCTAGAGAGCCACTCCAGGCTCCTCCGGCTCTGGGCCAAGCAGCTTCGCACCCCCCACCCACCAGCCTGCGACACCCAGTCCCCAGCCCCCACCCCAGCACCGGCTGCCCAGCCTCCAGCCCTGCCACAGCCGCCCAGCTTGACATCTCTGTTCAGGAGAGCAGCTCCCTGCCTGGGCTCTCCCTGTAACCCTTCAGCAACTTTTGTAAGAAAGCCTGATTACCTTAAACACCACCTTCGGTCAGGTGTGGCGGGGCACGCCTGCACCTCCAGCACTCAGGAGGCAGAGGCAGGAGGATGGCAGAAAGTTTGCGGCCAGCCTGGTCTATCTCGCAAGTTCTAGCCCACGGGGGCTGCACAGTAACACCCTAGCTCAAAAAAACAAAATCAAGGATGAAATACTGTATGCATGTACAGTTAAGTTTAAATACTGATCCCCAGGAGGAGACAAAGGCACCAGAGCCACTTCATTTACTTGAAGAGCCAGAGAAGAAAGTTTCTGTCATTCCCACCCTCATCCTGGGGAGAGGACGGTGAGCTTTGGACACAGCCTCTCATCTCCCCATCTCCCAGACCTCCTTTTCCCTTCCTGCCTTCCATTTCATAACAGCAACCAAACTCAGTCTGTAATTCCTTCACAGTAACGGATTCCGTAACTCTGAACAGGACTGCTTTGGGTAAACGGCTAAGCCGCCTCCTCTTCTGAATGCCTTCCTCAGACGCTAATGGTCACAAAGTACAAATTACAAAGTAATAATAGCCCAGAAATGGCACCTAAGTGTTTAAAACCTTTTGTATATGTGCGTGTGCGCATGTGTTGGTAGCGTTCATGTGTGCGCCTGTGCAGGTCAGAGGACAACTGCAGGGTCAGTTGGTCAGTTCTAGCCTTGGACCTTGGGGACTTTGGGGATCAGACTCAGGCTGGCAGTACCTCTCTAACACAAGCATTTACAAGGAATAAGG